GGTAAAATTATAAAAATCATTTAAAGGTCTAAATAAGTGGACATAGTGTACAAAGGTCAATCTTTAAATTAGTCTGAACAGTTAATGCAAGTACAACAAAAATCCCAATATTGTGTGTGTATATGTGTGTAAATTGACAGGCTAATTGTAAAATTTATGTGGCATGCAGAGGCTGCAGAAGAGCCACATAAAACACTACAGAAGAACTTGCTCTTTGAGATACTAAGACACACTTTAAAGTACCATATTTCAAACTATTATTGGCCCAGAAATAGCCAAACAGACCAATGGAGCTGAACAGACAACCTAGAAATACAGGGAAAGGATTTTATTTTTTAAAATAAATGGTGCTAAGACAGTTGGGTAACTACATTTTATAAATGAGACTGGACACCTACTTTCCATCACATTAAAAAATTAACTCCCAGTCGATTCTTGACTTCCATGTGAGAAGCAAGCAAATCTATATCTTAGAGTTGTAGAATTTTAGGGAGATATCTTTCTGAATACAGACTAAAACTGATCAATTCAACTAAATTAAAATTAAGAATTTCTGTTCATCAGAAGATTCCATAAACTAACAACAAGTTCCCAGAAGGGGAGAAATTTTGAAATAGGAAAAACAGTAGGTAATTAGAGAAAGCAGCTGAAAATGTGTTGAGTAGGGAAAGGTAGCTTATAGACACAGCCTTAGTTCTCTAAATTTCAGTTGCTACCCTCCCCAAACAAGGTCTCCTCTAACATTTCAACCCCGTGGAGATGGAGCTGGCCTAGAGCTGGGGCAACATGGTCAGAATTAGGTCTTAGATGATGCAGAGACTAGTAAAGAATAGTAGGTAGATCTGATCTGAGGGTTAGAGGTTAAGAGAAAGAGAACTGGGCAGAACACTATAATTCTTAGAAGTATGCCACTGTCTCAATAGGGCCTTAAGTAATTACAGCCATAAACCCCACGTTTATGTTCTCTGTCACTCACTGAATTCACTATGCATTTCAGTTTACAGTTGTCATTGGATTCTGATGTGGAAATGAGAAGAACTGATGCTATTTATCAAATTAGTTATAGCCATACCAAATTAATTAGGTGACCAAGAGTATAGAGAGATTTAGAATAAAAAGCACAAGTTCTGGTTGAGAATTGTCACTTTTTAAGTTGAAAATGAGAAATTATAAGAAAGATCTTTAAAATGAATTAGGTGAATTTTATATTTAAATGTACTCCAAGCACTTCCTTTCACCCTAAATTCCATACATGCTTCCTTGCTCTATAGGCAATTCCCAAGTGTGGGTCATTGACCAATCACTTCCTGAGCAGTGGTGTAATTTTGGCAGCTGCCTCTGCTGGCCATATTTCCCAAGGATTCCTCAGAGCCAAGAATATCTGCCAAGGAGTCAAAATGCTGCTGACGATCAGGAATTGGATTTGTTACAAATGGAGACGCTCCAGCCCTCTGAATTTGCCAATGCTATTGTCAGAGGAGTGTGATAAATGGCTGGGTGCATCTGCCCTTGTGAGCTGACAAAGATCCGAACAGCTTAAAATATGACAGGAAGCTAGGCTTCTCTGGCTAAGTCTTGGGCAGTGTATTATCAGTCTGCAACTGAAACCTAAGAAGAAGGAAATGCAAAGAGGCACTTTGCAGGGGTTTCTTTCCTCAAGGCAGAAATAATACCTCTTGTATTTGATTGGCCTGAACATGATTTCTGGAACTTGCAGGGAAAATGCGGCAATTGTATTCCAGAGCACAGTGTGAGACTCCCAGGGATATCGTGCCATTAAAATTAATGTGTTTAAAGAATCCACTTGAGGTTGTTTGATGACTGAAGCTAGAGGTCTTCTTTGTTCCCTTTTTTTTTTACCCCTTCTAATTTGCCAGTCGGTCATTTAAGAGAACAAACTCTAAACTTTCAGCTATTAAAAGAGAACAACGTTTATAACTGGACTTTAAAAATGCTTATGGAAGGAAACTACACGAGCAATATGTATATTTTTTGTGACAAGCAAAAACAAAATAAAGAATCACCTATAATCCCAATGTGCAGCTATAAGCATTGTTAATTGTGATCATAACCTTTCATTTTCCTTTCTTTTCTACTTATTTTTCTGCTTTATTTTCCCTTATATAAACATATACCATTGTCTATGTATGTGTGTGAGTGTTGTGTGTGTGTATGTGTGTGTGTATGTGTGTGTATGTGTGTGAGTGTTGAGTGTGTGTGTGTGTGTGTGTGTGTGTCAAGGTCACCAAAGATTTCTATATCACTAAACTTAGTGATTAGTTCTCAGGACCTGTTAATAGCATTGGACACAAATGGCCACTCTCCTCCTTGAAATACTTTATTCACTTAGGTCCCAAGACCCCATATTCTCCAGACTTTTCCTTCTGCCTCATTGACCTTTCTTTCTTCATCTCCTTTGCTTGCTCTTTGTTCTCAAAGCCCAGTTTTTAGACTTCTCTTGGACCCACTCACTTCTCTTTTCCACTTCCACAGCTCTAAATATCGTGCACTTGCTGAGAAATCCCAAACATACACGTCCCACAGTAATTCCTTCCTAAACTCCAGGCTCATACATCTTCTCTCTTACCACCATCTCCACTTAGTATCTAATAGGCATCTCGAAGGTGTCTAAAATACAAACTCTAAATCCTAACAAACCGTTCCCTACTGCCCCCCCCCCAAAAAAAAAAGAAAAGAAAAGAAAAGAAAAAAAACTTGCCAACTCATTACATAGTAACTACAAACTTCTATGTGCTCAGGCCAAAACTCTGGTGCCATCTCTCATTTCTCTCTTTTGTATCCCACATCCAAGTTATCAGCTAGCCCTCAAATTACATCCAGAATCCAACCACTTCTCATTATATCCTCCACCACCATACTGATCAGAACCACCATGAACTTTTCCTTAAAGAGTCTCCCTGCTTTGGTTTTTGTCCTCTCCAAGAGTCAGTAATCCTTCTAAAACTCAAGTCAAATCATACCACTCTTTTTTCTCAAAAAACCCCAATGGCTTCCCACGTCACCTTAGAAGACCAAAAGCCAAAGTCCTTACAATGGCCTACTAACATCGTGTGCCTTTTTAAAATTAAAAATATAAAAAAGGCAGCCTAGTGGTGGTTAAGAGCATGTGCTCAAGGTCTGTGCTCAAATTGCCTGTGTACAAAGCCTGGCTCTAATTATTCGCTGTGTGATACTGGGCAGTTACTTAACTTTCTGGTGGCTAAATTTCCTTACCTGTAAAATGGGATCGTTATAATACCTATTTCATAGAGTTGTGATAAATATTTTAATGAATATTTATATCATGCTTACAATAGTGCTGGCATATAGTAAACATTATAGAAGATCTTTTAAATGACAACATTGACATTTTATGCTATTAGCATAAGATTTCATTATGAATTCTGCACATTAGGAAACCTAGATACCCCAAACATCTCTCAAAAAGCATGAAAATGTTTTAAAGAAATTTAAAATGAGCTATCATTGTTTTATTCCCTTTGTTTATTCTGAGTTCAGAGTGGCTTTTACACCATACTTTTTAGGTATTTTGGTACTGATGCTGAGCTGCTTAATCACCTACTTCCTAACCAGCAATATTGTAATTCCTAAAATAGGTGTGATTTTTTCCCAGCTTATTGTGTAGACTGACTTATGAAGTAGACTTTACTTTTCTGCTCTACTATAGCCTTTTACTACTGCATTAAAATGTAGCAGTTTAATCTAAACCAAAATAAAAGCTTAAAGTATATTCATCCATATAGCTATGATGGGCACAGTACAGAGAACAAATATAAAATTTCCAGTACAGAGTCATAAAAATTTGTTGAGTTTGTAGTTGAAAAATTACTACAGACTCAATTTTGAACACAGCTTTAATCATTATTTAAATTTGTCTGCAAAGGGAAGTGAAGGAAATGGCTACCAGCCAGACCCTGACTATCGTAGTTCAGTTCTCACATTCATGTTACAGTTACAGGTTTTTAAATACTTGCGTATAACTGAAGAATAAATTACCCTCAAATCTCAATCTCTCTCTCTCTCTCTCTCTCTCTCTCACTCACACACACACATCACTGCAACACAACACATACATATACTCTTCAGGAGCTGATTCATGATCCACAGAGAAGAGACTAAATTTCCACAGATTATTTGAAGTGGAAAGACCTATTTTAAAAGAAGTTAAATAGAGGTGCCTGGATGGCTCAGTTGGTTAAGCATTTGACTCCTCATTTCAGTTCAGGTCATGACCTCATGGCTCATGCAATCTAGCCCCATGTTGACATGGGGTTCTGACACACAGAACCTGCTTTGGATCCTCTGTCTCCCTCTCCCTCTGCCCCTCCACTGCTCACTCGCTCTCTTTCTCTCTCTAAATAAATAAATAAACCTTTAAAAAAAGGAAAAGGAGTCAAATATACATTTGAAAACAAGGGAAGTCATAGTATCTGTTCACAAAAACGAAAGGGAGTGAGGAAGGATTTGTGGAAAATTTGTGAAAAAGGTCGTAGTTTTATTCAAGGGAGTATGAATCAGACTTTTTTGGACAATTTTTAATTTGACTTATAGAATATGTGGTGTGAAGTTTTGTTGATTCCAGAAACTTGTTCCAGTTCTAAATGGAATTTTGGTGTAAACTTCTCCTCTTGCTCAAACTCTTAAAGGCCCCTGTATATGAGGTGGGCCACCGATCAGCTGCAAGGTGGAAATAAACTTCACGTATCTGCCAACAGCAAAATGGCTCAGACTCAAAAACCACGCAGCGATTGCGAATCCCTTTGAGGATGTGAGGAAAGAAACCACACTACTGGGCCGCACACAGAAACAGGAGACAACATCTAATGGAAACTTGCTTAGTTACATCAACATTTTGTGAAACTTACCATTTCACAGTAATTGCATGTAAAAATGATGTACAAAAGAACAGTGCCCCTCCTAAAATGTCATTGCAATTCTTGTCAAATAATAGGTTTCCTCACTTTTTTTTATTTTAAAAGAAAACTGGCCCTGAAACATCATCCAGACAAGAATCCAGATGATCCAGCTGCTGCTGAAAAGTTTAAAGAAATCAACAACGCCCACACAATACTTACCGACATGTCAAAGAGAAACATATATGACAAATATGGATCACTAGGACTCTATGTGGCTGAGCAATTTGGAGATGAAAATGTTAATACCTACTTCATGCTGTCAAGCTGGTGGGCAAAGGTAAATCAATTTTTTTGTTCAAAAACAATTTCCTAGAAAAACCATGATACTATTCACTCTTTTAGACTCCATCTCAGAGAAAATCTAAGCTTACTATATTATTAAATATTGTAAATAAAAAGAGAGACTGCTTTAATCCGAAGCTATTATTTGAGGATCATCTTTTGCTTTAGCTCATTAAACAACTATAAAACACAGCACAAATTAAAATAGCTCTAGACATTAATTATAAGTGAATCTGAGGCTTCAGGTTAATTCTGACTGGCCCCCCTCACCCCATGACTAATTAAGAACTGACTCATTGCTCAAAAGCAGAAATAATTTGTTAGTGTGACAACTGCTTGGTAAGTTATTATAGGACAAATTTAGCCATGTACCTTACTGTCTATAGCATAGGCTACATGAGCAAACACAGTATTTGGAGGATGTGTGGTAATGATGCCACAGGCTCACGTGAAGCCTGACTTGAAGTAGTGGAGAAGGAAATGGGGGGGGAGTGGGGGAGAGGGGGTGAGAATTAGTAGTGCTGAACAGGGTGTGGGAGAGACATAGAGGGAAAAGGGAAGAAAGGATATCTGGTCAAGAAGGCAACATTTTTAAGGACTTAGTACAATCAGAATTCACTTTTAACAGTAAACGTTGGGTGGTTTCCTAGAATTAGCATATGTTTAGTGATGGTTATACATTTGTTTATGAGTTTTAATATCCTTATCCTTTGATAAAAGCATATTTACATAGAAGCATACATATGATCCATCAGAATATTTTTGGACAATTCATAGATTTTGTGAAATAATAGAAGAGATAAGAGATAGGGGCACCTGGGTAGCTTAGTCGGTTAAGCGTCCGACTTTCGCTTAGGTCATGATCTCGCGGTTCGTGGATTCGAGCCCCGTGTCAGGCTCTGTACTGACTGCCAGCTCAGAGCCTGGAGCCTGTTTCAGAGTCTGTGACTCCCTCTCTCTCTGACCCTCCCCTGCTCACGCTCTCTCTCTCTCTCTCCTAGAAATAAATTAAAAAAAAAAAACATAAAAAAAGAAGAGATAAGAGATAATAAGAGATAATTGATAATTTTAAAAACTGCAGATCTCCAAAAAGAGAGGTTGCATGGTCAGTAGGATTCTGATTGTCATTTTCTTCCACTAAAATAAACCTTGCTAAAGTGAAGTTTTATTATGCAGGTAGAGAGAGAATATATTTTTGCAAATAAGCATGGAGAGTCTACAACCTAAAGTGACACTTGTCTTCTACAGTCTCCAAAATGTCTTTTCCTAGAGATAACTGGGATCCCACTTGAGATCCCCTTTCTCTATTGCTGAAGACCTGAGAGAGAGAGACAATTTCCCGCTGAGTGGATTTGGACCTTGGAATGGGACAATATATTTACGATAGATTGAATATTCATATAAAATGTAGGTTTTAGGGGGCTTGCCTGGGAACCTAATCTCCAGGTGTGACATTCTCTCCATGGGAAGGTATCTCTGGCATTCTAGATAATTTACACACTAGCACCTGGTTGCATATAGGGCTGTCCCGCATGAAAACAAATAGGTTTCCTTCCTGAGGAAGTTGACAAAATTGATCAAAATTCATATAGAAAAACAGATGTTGTCCAGCAGTATTAGAGATATATGAAATAATTCCTGATGTGGCTCTTTAAAAATAAGGCCACACACAAAATATCTACTTTCTTCTGCTTATGTCAAAAGCCTAATTGCACCATGCCCATTAGAGTGGGCTGGCACATAGTGATCATGTATTAAGTATGCATTAAATGAATGATTTATTGTACCACTGAAAGTAGTATTTCAAAAATATTGGACTCCTGGGGCACCTGGGTGGCTCAGTCGGTTAAGTGTCCAACTTCAGCTCAGCTCACGATCTCATGATTTATGACTTTGGACTTTATGCTGTCAGCGTAGACCCTGCTTTGGATCCTCTCTCTGCCCCTCCCCTGCCCGCACTCTCTCTCTGAAAAATAAACATTAAAAAAAATAAATCTTCCCATTAAAAAAATTAATGGACTCCTACTTATGCTCAGTAGTGTGCTAAGTACTGAGTATATAAGTCAAGGTTATTTGTGTAGCAGGCAACCAATCTAGTTGGATTAAGTAAAGAACAAATCAGTATATGAATTAAAGGAAATGTTCAGCGAAGAGTAAATATGGGAGCTGCATGGTAAAGACAAAAGGGGACAAAAGTAGGTAAAGAAAGGAGGAGCTGTTTGGGCAATAGCTCAGGAACACTGCACAGAAAGGTTCTGGAGGCAGCTGGTGAGGAGGGCGGTGTTGCAGTTTTGTTCTCAGAGTAATTTTCTTAAGTCTATGAAAATGTAGTATACCCACAGCTAAAAGATTATAGGCTCCCTCACCCCAAGCCACTGTAGCTCCACCACATCCCGGCGGCGGGAGTCACAGAGAGGCAGTGGGGGCTAGGAAGCGGGAATGAGCCAGGGGAGTTTCATCAGCGTCAAGGATTTCTACCTGAAGTTACTGGGGAACTGCATACACACAAGGTGATCTTTATGCTCTTTGCTATTTTTAGAGAAAATGTACATTCTGATTCAAAACACTTCCTATTTCAAATAACATTTTTTTACAATCATTATTTTGATGAATTGAAAAATTGGCTTATTTTAACTTAAATGGGGTGTTGGGAGAGTTTCTTTTCACCTTTAGCTATGGCAGACTTACTAAGCAAATCTTTCATATGCTTGTGGGGAAATCCTGGTTCTGACTGTTCACTAAAACAAACTGTCTATCTATTAATTACTTTATACATTCATTAATTCAGTAGGTATTTTATTGTCTCCCACATGCCAGGTACTAAATCCTCAGGCAGGAGGGATTAAAAGATGACTACCATATAGTTATAGCCTTCAAATCTCTCAGTCTAATGTGAGACAGACTTGTAAACAGATAAACGTCCTAAGGTGTCAACAACAGCAACTAAACCTGGGAGAAATTTCTATCGAGTACAGCTGGGGCACAAAGGAGAGAGTAATTGTTTTATTAGTTTATTTTTTAATAGTTTACTGTCAAGTTGGTTTCCACATAACACCCAGTGCTCATCCCCACAAGTGCCCTCCTCCATGCCCATCCCCCCTTCCACTCCCCCACTCCCATCAGCCCTCAGTGTGTTCTCAGCTTCAAGAGTCTCTCATGGTTTGCCTCCCTCCCTCTCCCCCACTATTTTCCCCTTCTTCTCCCCACGGTCCTCCGTTACATAATTGTGTTAGAGTGAGGGGGATCAGGAAAGATGTCAGAGAGGGGAGCTTTGAGAAGAATTTTAAACCCAGAGTTGACATTTGTTAGATGGCTGAGGAATGGGAAGGGGCCCTCTGGGCAGACGAATCCACAGGGAGAGCAAAGCCAAGGAAGTCATGGCAGGCATGGGGCTGTGCTAATTCAGGGAAAGGTTTTGAAGCCAGATGAGCATTAATCAGGGGCTCCAGCCTTTCCTGAGAGGCGGGACAGCTGCTGCGTAGGTTCAAGAGAACACGCATTTCATTAAGTTCCAACAACAATGTGCAGAGTAGAGGTGGAGGCAAGAGTGGAGGCAAGGAGGCTAGTTAGGAGGCTACTGACATGTTAAAGGCAGAGATAAGGAGATCTTTCTAAAGTCTTTACCAAACATGAGAGAGACAAGGGAGAGGGTGCAAGAGATCTTGAAAAGGTTCTGGCAAGACCTAGTGACTAAGAGAAATGAGGAGGTGGGAGGGAGAGCTATTAATAGATCTTCTTTAGTGAAAATGATTCAATCCCCTTGGTTAGGTCACTTGACCTGTAGAGATTGTCTGTGTGTGGTTTTGTTTGCTCTACTGTTAATAATGATCACCACAGCTCATGAATAAAGAAGAAAACATCACTCTTCATTACTGTGGCTACAAGTCACTTCCTGTGAGTTGTTAGGCAAAATTTACAAGGAATTTGTTTCCAAGGCAACTAAAAAGCTAGTTCTTGCATGGAATGAGGATGAGGGTGAATATGTGGTCCTCAGGATGAACTGCAGTATCTTCAGGTCTCTGGAGATACACGGATGCACACGTAAGTTCTGGTGTTCTCCCGCACCCCACCGTCCCTCACCCCTATTTCACTTTCTCTCTGTTTCCCCTAGACCCTGTTCGTCATCATTGGACTCTTGACTGGCTGTTATTTTTGCTGCTGCCTATGCTGCTGTTGCAACTGCTGCTGTGGACACTGCCGGCCCAAATCATCGGCACCAGAAGAGGACTTTTATGTGTCCCCAGAGGATCTTGAGGAGCAGATCAAGACCGACATGGAAAAAGGTGGAGTAAGATGAGAGCAGAGCTAGTGTGTGTCCCTTCACAGACCTGACCAAGCACAAGGTCCCTGGTGATGGTTATCACTAAAGTGAGAGAGATCTAAAAACCCAATGAGGGGAATCCCACAGATTGTCAGCTTTGGTACCTCTTTTGGAGAGGATGAAGGGGCAGTTACCTTTCCTGGCCACAGAGAAAAGCAGAACCTGACACCATTAGAAATAAATGATAAAATATGCTGATCACAAAGCAAAACCAGTACAATTCATGATGTTGTTACAAGAGCGTTGAGGGGGTTTGGGTGGGAATACCTGAGATATGAGAACCAAGCCTGTTAACGTTAGGATCTCTATTCAAATAGAAGAAAATGAACACCAACAACTCTGGTCTCTTCTTCTTTCAAATCACTTGATAGTGAGTTTTGGGTAGAATGGGGAAGGGTAATCTTTTTTCCCTCAAAATGTAGCTTCCTTCCAAATCCACACATTCAGAGGCAGCCTCAACTAGCATCAAGAATATTGTCCTATGTGAATGGGGCACATGTTTATCTATGTGTATACATGACCATGAAATATTACTTGATTCTTCAAGTTTATTCTACCCAGAAATGATAAAGAAAAAATATAAAGAAAGAGAAAACCTCACAAAACTCACAAAACCAGGAATACTTCATATGCTCTGGGAAACTTCTCTGGTAAACAAGTTGAAGTCCAACCTGCCATGGCCTTCTCTGTCTTGCAGCCATAACCCTACTACCATTTTTCTCCTGTGGAATGCATCATTATTCTGTATTACAGACTTCATCACTAAATCACAAAGAACCCTGGACAGTCGAAAAAAAGAATTACTTGATAATTTCCAGGCAGTAGCCCACTGTTGTCAGAATTGCTGAAATTAGGAATGGTACACTTCTCTGGACTGTATCATACTTTGATTCTTTTGATCACAATTAAACAAAAGTTCAGTGACATCAAGCAGCTGAGACTATTTAAAGGCCTCCACATTCCTTTTATTCCCTATCAAATGTGATTCTAAGCAACGGTGTTATTATCCATCTTGAGTCCAGCTTGAAGGATTGAGTCTTCAATTATATGAATTATACTTAGTCCAGACCATTCCAGGATTGGGAGTCAGAGGAGACAGGGATTTTCCTGCAACCTATGACCCCTTCCTATGGGGACCAGAGGTGGCCAGTCTGGCAAATAGGTGGGTTACTGTAACAATTTTTTGTTATTGTCCTTGGAGACAAGTTGTGGGCCCATGGTGAAATATAATTACAACTGTCTTTTGCCTTATTTGGGATATAAAAGGACAATTAATCTTTTATTGAGGACATACGTACCAAAAAGAGCAAACAAGCAGTACTACTTAAAAATGGGTTAAACAGAAATGTGTGTGTGTTGTATAAACTCTTCTCCATGGAAGGGCCAGTGACCTTACATAACTTGCTTAGGAATGATGATCCCATCTGCCTTTGTAAGGGAGATGAACTGTTATTAGATCACATTAGCTGGCTCTGCTGGCTATAGGATCGCCCATAACATCCATCAGTACAGTACAGTACTCCATCACAGACAGAGGATAGGAAGGGGCAGTGAGATAGGAAAGTATTGTAATCATCATCCACTGTGTCAACCTTATCTTAACTTTTCTTGTACAGCAGAAGCCAAAACTAGGTAAATTGAACATAGATAGGCCAAATCCACTGTTGCACGCTTCTCTGAAAAGCCTCAAAGTCCTCTCCTGTTTTAAATTAGATAAAACCCCACCAGGTCATTTCAGCAGACCTCCTTTGCAGAAGATTTCTTTTCTGAAACAGAAATTTACACTCAGTGCCAAATTCCACCCAGGTTTCCTTCCTGCAGGGTGACTGGTGATAAATCTGTGTGCCTCTCACTGTCCTCACTTCTGACACCCCAGAGCTACCAACCCCATAGCAGAGGTCATATTCTAGACCAAGTCTGACTGTGTTACCAAGAATCCTTAAGCAAAAGACAAGCTTTATTCTATGCCTAAATATTTAAAAGCTCTATGCAGAGTTTACCCAGGTTTTATAGGGTCTGACACACAATTTGGGCAGTCCTCTTTAAGAAAAAAAGTACAAAATTAGAAACAAAAAATTAGATCTGAAAGTGAATATTTGGAATGAGAAAGGAAATCACAACAACTTGCAAAGCTTAAAAACTGAAAATATCATATATAAGAAAATCTAGAAAAATAGTGATAGTTTAACTGTCTGGCACACCTCTATAGTACTTTCCCCCTACTGTTTTCTGGATGCATTCATTATTCTTTGACTGCCTCTTCACTTAATAGTTTTGGGATGTCATTTTCTGTAGGAAGAATAGAAAAACAATTTTTTTCCTCTAGCATGTTTGATCAAAATTTGTTTTCTCTCATTGGTAAAGTAGAAAAAATTTCTTTTGGTTTTATAATTCATTAACAATAATGTCTAACTTTTAAGGGATTGCTTTAAATTTGGGAATATTATCTAGTCATTTCATATATAAGATGTAAGATTTGGAAGAATTTTCACAGGCCACTTTTTAAGTCTGCACATTTCCAACTTTGTTGTCCCTACATCACCTGATGCTTCCAGTAGAAGAGCCCCCCCAGGCACATTTGTATAGTGTGACATCACCTCTGGCATGGAGCTTTATGTCCCCTCAGCAAGTGAACTGGCGTAGGGAGCTATGGGGTATTCCTCAAGCCATTCCTATGCCAGTATGGATAGCAATAACTAACTATACACAGATTTGCTGAAAACTACAAATATATATCCCTTTAACCCCAAATGAAATTTATCACCTCCCTCTATTTCCCCTTAACCGAAGCCCCCAGAACATCCATAGACCCTCTATTGCCACCCATTAAGAAGAAAAGTATGACGGAGGGAAAGTCAAAGTGAAAAGAGACAGTGTTTTTGCTAATTACCATGAAATTATATTACTTTTGCAAATCTACAAAATATAAGCATACTGCTAGGGCCCCAAAGGCCCTTAGAAAGATTTGCACAGATAGAGGTCTCTGAAGATTCATTAACCATGCAGTAAATTTACCACTGCTCTTCAGTCTAGCATTTCATTACAAAACTTTATGCCTTCTTTGCAGCTAGGTTTCAGATTTTTACTCCACTAATCCAGAAACTTAATGTAGTTTACAGATAAAATTAATGTTAAGTTAAAGCTGTAAAGATGAAAGAGCAGATTCCACGAGAAGACTATGCTTTCTGGACTATGACCCAATAAATGTAATGTATCTTCTGTTCTGCAAAAGAAGGGGACTCACTTAAAGTTGTTTAAAAAAATATACTTCAGGGATGCCTGGGTGGCTTAGTCGGTTAAGCATCCGACTTTCGCTTAGGTCATGGTCTCGCGGTTCGTGGGCTTGGGCCCCGCGTCGGGCTCTGTGCTGACTGCCAGCTCAGAGCCTGGAGCCTGTTTCAGATTCTGTGTCTCCCTCTCTCTCTGCCCTCCCCTGCTCACGCTGTCTCTCTCTCTCTCTCCTAGAAATAAAGAAAAATATTAAAATATATATATATATGTATATATATACTTCAAAGGGGCTACCAATCATGCAGATATCAAGCTACTCACGACAAATGATAGGCAGCATTTGAGTTCATTAGAAGGCACTGGTGAGATATTAGCACTTTAAGATTTTTTTCAATGATTTTGAAATTAAATGAAATACGGCAAAACTTTCCTCACTGAGGGAATCATTATCTTCTATTGAATCTCATCATAAAATCCTAGGATTTTAGGGTTGGAGGAAATCTGAGTAGTCACCCCTTACCTTCTCACAACTTTTCCAGCAGACTCTGACTAACCTCATTTGAAAGCTGCCAATGGTGGGAAGGTTTGGGACTTTGTATGAAAGTGAGAGACACTCATAAAAATTCAACAACCACAGAAGGATTATAGAGTCAAAAGCAATTTTACACCGACCTTCTGGCACCAGCTCTCCAAGGATAACAACATTTAGAAAATTTTTGTAATATTTATGGGTTTTATGTTACAAAACTGTTATCATGTCTACATAGTTTTTGCTGCCTCTTTGCACAGCAAAATTTTTGACAAAAAATCAAATTTTTAAGTGAATTATGCTTTTAACATCATGTCTAAGAACTTTTACCCTAACCTTATGTCATAAAGATTTTTCTGCAAGGTTTTCTTCACTCTTTTTAAAAGTTTATTTATTTTGAGAGAGAAAGAGGGAGCGTGCACACTCAGGGAAGGAGCAGGAAGAGAGGGAGAGAGAGAGAGAGAGAATCCTAAGCAGGTTCCCCAGGTCCCACACTATCAGTGTGAGGCCCAATGCAGGGCTTGAAACCACCAGCCTGTGAGATCATGACCTGAGCCGAAATCAAGAGTCAGACGCTCAACTGATTGAGCCACCCAGGCACCCTTCCAATGTTTTCTAAAAGTGTTATAGTTTTATGTCCAACATTTAGATCTATGACTCATTTTAAGTTCATTTTTATTTACGGTATAGACTTAGGTCAACTTTGTTTTGTGGGGATTTTTTTGGCAAATGGAGTTTAATTGTTCCAACACTATTTGTTGAAAAGATTATCCTTTCTCCATTGAATTATCTTTATCCCTTTGTCAAAAATCAAGTGACCATACTTATATGTGTCTATTTATAGACTCTATTCTGTTCCATTGATCTGTGTATCTACCCTTTCACCAATAACACACCATCTTGCTTTCTGCAACTTTAAAGTCTTAAAATCAGCTAGTGTGATTCCTCCAACTTTATTTTTTTTAATTGTTCTGGTGACTCTAATATTATTCTGGTGACTCTAATATCTTTGCCTTTCTGTATGAATTTTAGTATCAAGTTATCTAAATCAACAGAAAATACCAATTTTTAAAATTAAAATTGCATTAAATTTATATATTGGTTTGGGAAAAATTGAGGTCTTTACTATGTTGAATCTTCCAGTCCAGCAACATGGGATGTGTCTCTACTTATTTAGGTCTCATTTTATTTATAATGAGTGT